CATTGATGGCTTCGTGAACCCAGATTAGGATCGAGCCATCAATGTGCTCGTGATGATTGGCATCATTACCATTGTGCTACTCGCCCCTCAGTGCTAAGTTATCGATAAGGCACATCGCCTTCTTCAACCAGGACCTTTTTTCTAGATCGAGAAACGAAGAACTGTGGACTATCGCCTCGGATCATTGACTCTGAAGAAGAAGACGGTGAAACATCAGCCGAAAATAAACAACATTTATTAAGCTCGTGTAAGCAAGTTTATCAAAGAAACAATTCAAAATCTTTTTGTTAGCAGAAGAGTAACAAAATTCAAAAAAAGACCGCAGTTTTAAAGAGAATTGTACTGTAAAATTGCTCACTTCTCCAGTCACCTATTGGGATTACCAAACACCTCGAAAAAAAGCACTAAATAAGCCAACAACGTTTGAATACCAACGAACATTCCAAGGCGACAGCTCGTTCGTAATCGTTTGTAATACCATCAATACGAAACGGGCAACTGCATAATTTGTCCTAACGGGAGTGACAGTGATTGTATAAATTCGAGTACGGTGTACCTCTCTCATCTCTTGTAAAGCGCATAGAGATGAATATGTTGGCGAAAAGGGTAGACTACACCTCGTCCGTATAAAATAGCACCTGGACGCCAGGCGTAAAGTTAAATAAAGTGCTCCACTAGACGCATATAAGACACATAGACATAACGGGGAAGATTTTGAAGCAAAATTCGCTATCTCAGCACAGGAACAACAAAATAGCGAGTGTTTAACACAAGCTGTTTATTATGCGGATGGAAACTGATGCATCAAATTTTATTGTTTAGGGTAGAGAAGCATTTGAATGAGTGGATGTCAAATGACCTCGAAATGTTGACCAGCATTGTATTGAACAAATCCTGCTATTAACACTCTCATTTTTGCTCATCAAAAAAACCGTGTGAATTGGCAGATAGTTTCAAAGTCACCTAGAAACCCTTATCTTAAGAGATTACTGTGAGGGAATTCAACGCACATAGAACGAGACAAAGATTACAAGCAAGCTTGAGTTTAAAATCTTATTCAAAAAAGAAAACTAAACCAATTCTGGCACGCTGTATGTTATGATGCAAAACTACACGCATGTTGACTCCCAAGTATATGCCTTACAAACCTCGCAACTTCATAGCAGGCTAAATGAATCCCCTCAAATCGCAAGAAATTTGAGGAGTTGTCTCTGCATAACATCATAGTTGAGCAGTCAATAGCTAGGGAAACTCCTTCCTGTGGACCAAGAAGTCGAAAATCGTGAAGAGTTGGCTGGAAATTCCTCTTAAGAATTTATTCATCCTCCTCAAACTTCATTGAATACAACTCACTGTTTCATTGGCAACAATTTCTCGAAGCACGTAATTTTCACGAGATGTCTGTGGTTCACAAAGTATAACTTTGCAGCAACCACCGAAATAGACTCCAGAAAAGTCTCCTGAAATTATACGCAAAAATATATGCACGAAGCCACAATTAGGAGGACACATATGAAACACCTCCCAACGGTTTCCTGCCTTATCGTAGCTGGGCGTTCTTAGGTGTCGGGCTGCGATGTAGAGTGGGGGATTCTTGCCCCCGGCAGGGTCTCCCAAGCTGCGAAGGAGTCCGGCGTTTCCACTAGGAAGCACAGCTAAGAGTAAATTGATACCAGAACCCACCACCGTTCTGGTATCAAACTAGTCGCATGGTGGCAAATCTTTCCCTGATTCACAAGAGCAGCGGCTGCTGCGATGGTGATGACTTGGAGCAGACTTTGGTCACGCTGATCTCGGGACTCCAAGGAAACATAATGGCTAAGCCAGCAAAACTCGGAAAAATTAGAGATTATGCTGAGGTCCGCACAACTAGTGAGGGCGACCCATCCAAGTATCCATGTATTCATATATTAATCACCTTTGCACTATGATGACGAAATGTAGTAACTTGACTGATGATCAGAAAAGTAGGTTAAAAGCAGAATATTTTTGTTTTAAAAATCTAACACAGTGGGCTAAAAGGTAGGAGGATTATATGAATGGCAAAGAAATAACGGAAAAATTAACAAAGAAGACAACTCACCTTTAATGTTTAAAAGCTCCTTTGGTCTCTTGTTCAACTTCACATTGAAGCATATGTCAGACCTACTATCGGTTTCTCTAAGCGGGTCATATACGTTTGTGCAATGCTATAACAAGCTTTCTTTAGGTTAAAAAGGCAGTTGGTACTTCGATAAAGTAAGCAAACGCTATAAAAATATCTCTTACCTCTCTATAGATTTCGTCGAAACTATACAAGCTACAACTGTGTGGTGAGGTATTGAACGTCACCAACACGTCGTCTTCAAGTCCAGCAGCATGTATGTTATGAAAAACCTAAATATGAATGTCGAAGAAAATACAAGATAAAAGATTGATCAATTCAAAATAGGTGTAACAATAAAAGTAAACGAATGCCGAAAATAAATGCGTCCTACGAGAAAGTACTAATTGACTATTGGACAAATTCTTTAGTACTACATGAACAATGTTAAACAGGGAAACAGACTGCGATATGAGACAAGGAATCAATGTGCACCACACAGCACTATACAGTACCAACAGTATATAAAACACTGAGAAAATTGAAAAGACATGTAAAGCCAGCGAAACAACATTTAAAACCTTACGTTTTTATCCAGCTGAAGCAACGCCTTGAAACGCGGCGGCTGTATTTCAAAAACTGCTATTGAAGGACTCGGGCTTGTTCGTAAAGAGCCTGCAAATCATATGACCAGTAGTATAACTAAGTGTAGTTTTTGTAACAGAAAAAATACTTTGGAACAAGAATTTTATCTGGAAGACCGACATGTTACAGTAAAACGGCTCCAGTACTTAAAAATAGTAAGAGTTGTAACATTATCAACAGACAGCGCTAACCATCTTCCTGTCCTGGTAGAACAGCTCTACCTAGTAGCCATACCTCAGAAAACGCTTTGTTCCAATGAATATGCCTAAATTAGTCAAAAAAAAACCCACAATGGAATACAAAAACTATTTGTCCGTGAGTAACGTTATGCTTAAGACAATACTTGAATTTGAATTGACGAATAGGCAATTGAAAAGTGTGCAAACATTCTCCACTCAGAAGACTACAGAAACGTAAACGACCCAGATTGGAGAGCACAAGTAAAAGAGAACTCGGCACTAAACCATCCTAGAAATCAGTGAAAGTTAGAGCAAACAAAGTAAACTACAATGTATCGAAACTGGCAGCTTATTTCGAATTAGTGGACCTCCTACGCCTTAACAAATAATATTCTTTATACTCTTGAGAAACGCTTTACGGTTCAACGGTTAAATTGGAATATGCCTCCCAACGGTTTACTGCCTCATTGTAGATGAGAGGTGTTCCTGAGTGTCGGGTTGCAATATATAGCGGGTGGATTCATCCCTCCGCCAGGGTCTCCCAAGTTGGGGAGCCCGACGTTTCCACTAGGAAGCCCAGCTAGGAGTAAACCAATACCAGGGTCCACCACCATCCTGGTACCAAACTAGTCGCATGGTGGCAAATCTCCCTCTGATTCATAAGAGCGGCGGCTGCCTGTGGTGGTGACCACGTGGGGCAGACTTTCACCAGGCCTACCTCTGGACCCCGTGGAAATACTATGGCTAAAGCAGAAAAACTCCGTAAAACAGAGATTATGCTGGGAACCACATAACCAGTGAGATGGACCATCCAATTAACGAAATAAGTAAGTCTTGAGAAAACCGTATGAAAAGTTGATGCTATGGAACTTTAGACTACCTCATCTCTGCATTTTTCTTGGTACTCACTGTTTAAACAGTACTCGTCAAGGCAACAGCAATACACTCACTTGTCTAGGAGGTTGAGATTCCACAACCAGAGTACTAACAATTCTTTCTGAATAGTCCATTCCACATATATGAGTTGTACGCAGCATGTCCATCGATATAAACTGATAACTCATTGGCAATATCAAACGCCGACTAAAGTAAGCAAATGCGCGTTCTCAATCACACGCTTCATAAAAATAAAACTATTAAATAACCTGAAGTGTGTTGCAAAGCCACGAATTCGAAACGCTTTATACGGCATGTACTCCCTCGTACTCTTAAATAAAGTAAAAACAGTTTTCTACAGAGCCAAATGAAGGTATATAAGAAAACGTCAATTCGTACAAGGTTAACAATATTACTACTTTCCATCGAGCTGGATCCAATTTTTAACCACTAGAAAAGAATGTAAAGAGAAACTATATAAACCCACTATAAGAAAAAAATAAAGAAAGTGGTTGTAACCGTACCGAACGGATCAGTGCACGAGCAATATTGTAATCGTGGCGCGAGGAGGAAGATACACCACCGATCTCCATTCCTGTTATTGCGTTTACTATATGAACATTTGACTGACGAAACTTCGCACGCAAATGGAATTTTTCCACCGATCCCAGCAATGTGCGAGTAAACTGTGAAGTAAGTAAAGACTTTAAAACACCCAAAATCACCTCGCTACCATTTTCAATGATCCGGATGAACTAACAGCAATGACCTTACCTCCTCGGCAATAACCCCCCGTTCTAGACCCGGTGAAGCTGATTGCTCATCTGGATTGAACATCTGAATTAACCACTTTCGAAATCATAACTTTCAAATCCTATAGTTTCGGATTCACGACAGAAAGGAAATGTATTTAAGCGGTCATCCTCAACTGAAAAACCTGAGGAAGTCCACGCACTTCACATAGATCTAGCTCTGAGATGATGCTAAAGGATGAACAAACTGTTGCAAAATGGTAGGAATTGAAAACCACGAAAAAACATTATCCATATGAGCACGAAAAATTTTATGCAGAAGATATCAGCCAATATCTCCTAACATAAAAATAAATTACAACGATAAGCGTAACAAAGACCATCGCATCGTTCATAATATAACAGGAAACGGAACATGTTAGAAATACACTTGGGAGTAGCTTCATGAGAAATCGCGGAACAGATTCAGACTGAGTAGATCATCTCCATAATATCTCGAGCGATGCTCTTCCCTTGTTCATCGGTTATGGCATCCTTGATCTTGTTAACAATGTTTAGCAGGTTCCTTGATTTTGCCAGCTAAAAATTTAAACAAAGATAACGTTGACTTTTATTTACTGCCTACTTCACGGTCTTTCGTACCCTCGCTTAGTGTGGTGGTGAACGTGTTAGCCTCGGCTCATACACCTGCAGTCCAGAGTTTTGCAAACATCTCAGCACCATTGTGGTTATATAAATATACTCATGCAGAACTTTATAACTGTACCATATATAGTGAAGGGATATTTGAAAACTACCAAATGGAATCCTAAATAATATAGACAAGCTATGATATTGGTACTACGAAAGAATACTGGTCCGCTATGCAACTGTCGGCATCTGGTAGCCGGTTTCGCAATGTATATGAAAATATATGCCAGTAGTTTTCGTATTCGACCACCCCGAAAAATAAAAATGATCCATTACACTGACTGGAAATTTAAGAACATGCAAAATTCTAAAGTACGGGCGAAAAAACTGTTTGATTATTGCAGAGGATATTGCTTTATCGAAAACTCCTAACAACTTTCCAATAACTGAAACAGCTGAAAACATGACACACTTATAGAACTGGGTATGTTCTACCTACGGCCACGGTATGCGCTGCTTAAAGTGTTATTTTCATCCTATTCTGGCCTGAAAGTTGCATTACCAAAAAGTGAAAAACAGACTTCAAAATTTTAACCCTTATGAGGAAGCAAGGCAGTAAACTCATTGTGAAATACCATATCTGGTTAGACAGAACATCGATTATTCAGTCGTTACGGCGTCCGAAATACGAACTTCGACATATAAATTATCTTTCATCGAGCAAAAAAACAGAATTTCAACTTGTAGGGTATGAAAGTTATCTAAACAAGAGTCTATCTATCTAGTCTATCTAAGAGTACGAAGTTATCTTAAAAAAAAATCTGCAGATTCTAATGATCTCTAGTTGAATTGATACAGTTTACTATGCTCTGAGATCTGTTTGTTCAATGTTGAAAACCCAAAGTTATTTAAGAGCACTTAAGAACAGTGTTGCAGCAAAGCAGATACGCGGCGCAGTGGCATGCGATGTAGTTCATCAGAAAGTAAGGCACTTGTTCGACCTCCTCCCAACGCTATCCTCTAATTCATGTGTGGAAGCCTCAGCTCGGCAATCTCCAAGATTGAGAGAAGAATCGACTCGGCCAACATTCAGCGAAATTATTCGAGAAAAACAACGCCGACATTACGTCGACCCACGAGTGAAATCCTACACATATCTTCTGCATGCTTCTTCGCCTTCAAAACTAAAAGCAATATCAAAATACTTATTTCGCGACATAGTTGGCCCGTCTTCACTGGTTGTGCTGACTCCGCATGACTGTCATTCGTTTCTCATTTGCGCAATTATCGCTAATGGTGGTAGTCTGTTTCGAGCCGGGCGACGTCCGCTAGGCCCATTCCGTAATCCTAAAGTTGCTGCCATCTGCAAGTGCAGGTAGTTGACGTTAGCCATGAACACGTTCGCCCACCGTTTGTGCGGTCCAGAAGGACACTTCCACTCTTTTGGAGTCCACTCCACTACTCTTTCGTCCATCTGTCATCTGTTCTTTTTACTATGTGACTTGCCAACTTCTTTCTCGCCAATGAAGTGTATTCTCTTGGATACTGAATATGTAATAGTTTTCGAAGACCTAAGGTGTTCATTTCGGCTAGAATTTGTGGATGCCAGTGAAACTTAAAAAAATATCGTTTAAGCGCTCTGTGGGTGATGTGCAGACTTCTCGAAGTAGCTGAAGTATTAGCCCATATTTCCCCTGCACAATAGTGCGCTGGGGAAAAAGATGAACCGAAAATATGGAGTTGTGGGTTCGTCAGCTGGTCGGTGGCTTCCTCGAGTAGCCCGAGTGCGGTCCATTCTGTTCTGTTTCTTTTGCATAATTCCCTCTTCATTTTGTTCCTCGCGTTCACTGAACGGCCAAGGTACACGTATGAGGTGGTTCCTATAATCAAAGAACCATCCAAGTTGATCTGTTTGCCATGAAATCCTCGTAAAAAGGATCTTCGTCGTATTTATGCGGAATAGTTTTTTTCCTCGTTCGTTGAGTCCATTTAATACCGTCTCTGCTCCGTAGATAATCCTTTGGAAGATGATGATGTTGTCGGTGAAAAGAATTTGATGGGAAATTTCCATAGAGTGGCTTCCTTATCCACTGCACTGTGGCAGTAAACAGCTTTAGCGATATTGTGTCGCGTTCATGAACCATTTTTCCCATGTGTATGGTCGGGGATCAATGGAAAAGTTGACCCGGATGGTGTAGTGGTGAAGTGCGCTGCTCCGCGGTAAGGACAACAGCGCGTGTTCGTTCCCCACTGCATACACCTGTGGTCCGGAGTTTTGCAGGTATCTCAGCATTTCACACGAGTTATATTTCACAACATACCCTGCCATTAAGAAGAAAAAGGCAGTAAATAAAAGAGATAGGAAAAGTTATATATTTGTGCTGAAGTTTCAATAACAGTTTGCTAGTCTTCGTAAATAGGACGTGCCCACTCCTTGGCCGACTAGCGCTAATAGGATTACAATCGTTACGACGTTTTCAAACACTTCTTCGTTGTCAACGAAGGTTAGGACAAAGGATAAATGGCAGTTCCGACAAACTTATGGCCCGTGAAATGGTTTGGATGATGTGCACGCAACAAAATCGTTATCGGAATCCTACTTGTTCAAATGGTTGTAGCATATTAGTCTACGACATGCACAAGAGAACAGCCTTCGTTAACATCCCGTAGAATACACTCAATCAGCATATTGGCTGATAGTCACGAAAATCACTTCGATTATGCTTCTTGGGTAGAGCGACCGTGCGGGAGGTCCTCCACACTGGTCTGATATTTACCATTTCTAAAGGTAAAATGTCATGCGGGTTACACGTAATTTGTTCCCACCAACTCGAATGAAATCGGGGGTGATACTATCGGGTACTACAGCTGTGCCTCGCTTCATGCTTCCCATCGCAACTCGAAATTCAGAGGGTGGAATCCCGGGCGGTTTTTCACCAGTGGAGATTTTGAGGTACCAGACGGAGTTGTGGAACAGAACAGGTCGGTACAGAACATTTCCATTATCAATTCTATATCATGATGGGATGTAGTAATAATGCAATCTTCGTTAATCAGAGTAGATAGCAGAATATTATAGTCATAAGAATCCAGCCGACACTTGTATAGAATGGATCATTTTTGAGCTGCTTACAATAGCTTTTTCGGCCTATACCGATGTAAATCCTCGTGCAGATGTCTTCTACAGCTGGCAAATACTGTTAGAGATGTTATGTGTGTTGGAGTGGGATAAGTTCCGGTGTACTTTCGTTTTCGAACAACTCCTTAATGATAATAGAGATGGGGTCTAAACTTGTTTGAGAGACTGAAGCGAGTTCGGCACAAGTTTTAAGTCATTCAACAAGTAACGTTTATTGCTCGATCAGGTCTTCACCTGCCGGTCATATTAGGTCGTACTTGCCGGTCATATTAGGAAAGAATTTCATTGTGAACATCTTCGTCATACAAGAATTGTTTCGTTTTCCATGGACAATGATAAAAGTCCTTTCACATCTTAAGCCTGAATCGAATCTTCACATGGAGGTACAGAATCCAGGTACCAATAATGTGGCGAAGGGGCACCATTTCCTGTTAGTGAAAATACGGTTGATCTCCGCAAGAGTCGTGTCGTAAGGAGATTTCTATGACTATCGGCGATTTTCTCCTATCGAAGAATGAATTCCATTCCATTAAAGCGAACTGTTGCGAGCGGAAAGCTTCCAAGATGGTTTCTACCCTCATTTCGATTTCCAATTTTGAATTTTTCTGTCCTTTGTAAGTTTTCGTTTTCGCTCCTAATCTGGCAATGGAGTCTCTGATAACAAATTTATACCGTTGCGGATTGCCTCCTCCAGATGGTTGCACAATGGGCCCAGTTCGCTCTTATCAACTGTCAAGTTGGTGAATAACAGCTGATGATTCCGACTTTCTTTTGATGCACAATTTGGGGACAAAAAACGACCACGCCCGGTGATAGGATTTCGTATGAGGTAACTACCTTGGAAGTAGATGGATGTACGGAGAAATCAAAGCTTACAACAATTCCTAACGGAGATTCCCCTCCACGAATGACACGAGCATCGTTATCTAATTGGGTTACGTCGGTCTACCTGGTTTTCGCCTCCTGTAGGGCGATCACATATTATTATATAAGAAGAACATCCTCCAGGATAACTCAAAGGTTGGCGTCAGAAGAGATTGTTCTGGCTTTATAGGTGCGCAGCAAGAACCAGTATCCATGGGGTGTCCTGCGCTTGCTCGTTTTGCTGTTTCTAGTGACGTCCTGCGCGACCCGGAATTTGATCGCCGCCCACCGGTTGTCTCACCGCCCGATGTCGTAGACGGGAGCGCCTAGTGTGTGGGGTAGCATGGAGGGAATTTTGCTGGTTTAGTCATCGCGGTTCCCCGCAGTCTCGAGGTCAGACTGGCCGAAGCCTTTTTCAGATCATCACTACCGAAGGCAGACGCCGCACTTGTGGGTCAGAGGGAGATTTGTCATCATGGGATTAGTTTGATACCAGGACGGTGGTGGATCCTCGTGTCAGTTCACTCTTAATTGGGCTTCCTGTTGGAAACCCCGAACTCCTTTTCAGCTTGGGAGACCCTGCTAGAGGACGTACTCACTGTTGTGCATCGCAGTTCAACAACTGGGAATAGTTCCCAGTCACGATGAGAGTGTAAACCGTTGGAAGAAGACAAAGATGATACAAACCAGTGGTAATACTCTCATAGATGCTTGATGGAAACATGAATACTAATGATAACCAAGATGATGCTGAGATATTTGCAAAACTCCGTACCGCAGGTGTCTGCGGTAGGGAACGAACGTATTACTATCCTTTCGGGGGGCTAACGCGTTCACCACCACACCATACGGGTCCTTCGTTTCGCTTGGTTCTACTAGTGATAACCGCTATTTCTAAAATACGTAAACATATTTTTTCTTGCTTATTTACATCATTGCTTAATATTTTAAATTTCAATTACTTTTAACCAGTTATCTGCCGTTTAATCTATCAATATCATTAATTAGTAGCATACCGTGATGAGCACCTTTAACATATGCGACTATAAGAGTTGCTATTAATACACGAGTGGGGAGGGTAGAGCACACCACATGTATTGATTTCGATACATATAGATCACGGCGAAAAATTGCGCATAGCTAGGAACAATAAACACACAAAGTTTAGTGTATTCGCGAATAACATTGTCCTATTCTCAAAACTCGCATTTCATTTATGATTAATCAGTAACTTGTTGCCTCTGATGAGCTTAACAGATACCTACACAAATTCTTACTGAGGTCAACCTCCCAGCGCAACTTTCCGCTCCATAGTCACGATTCGAATCGACTGTATGCAACAGCTATTCTTTGTGATATGTGAATTTTAGCAGCCAAGACGAATCGAATCGAGCAGAACACCTCGTGAATACCTTATTTGGGTTCAAATCGTTACACCTATTAACAAAGCGATGTCGTACAAACAATTGTCAAAATAGCTTAAGTAACAACCTCGTGCAAGCCTTAGTGAAAGAAAAATACGCCAATAATAACTTTCTACATGAATGAGTTGACATTCGGTTGGTATGAAAACTTTCGTTCGTTCGGCTAACGCCTCCGCGTCTTCGCCTGCTTTAGAGCCGCGCTGATGGAGGTGAAAGCGCCGAAAGATTAACCGAATAAAATTTTTCTACCGACCTCGTGTCAGCTCAGTCAGCAAAATGTTGCCTAATTTTTACCCAGTTTTGATGACAGTTGTGTTTTACGATATGCTAGTAATTAGTTAATTAGTGCATTAGTTCCTCTTGGTGTCGCGAAAAGAGATCATTCCGTTGAATGCATATAATGAATCACAATCATATCAAGCCAGGTGCATATAATATTCCCAGCTGTTCCCACTATGTTGATTAAGAAGTGGCAGAAAATTTCAACGGAGAACCGGCTCTTGAATTAGCCCTAGTTCATTCAAATCTCACAATACTTCTCTTTAGTAATTTTTCAGGGCTAACATATAGCTGGCGTATTGATCGGGAAGTGTAGATAAAAACTCTAATTGCCCAATGATTCTTCTTCATAATTTTCCGGTTAATTTTTGAAATGCTTCTTAAGCAACAGCAGAAAAAAGCTTTTATGAGAAAACGTACCCTGATTACTGTGGTGTCTCCCCACATAAAAGTAACTATTGCTTGGAGTAACCGAACGATACTATCTCTGCTGAGATATCCAAAGGAGCTAATCGTTTCGCACTTCTGTAATTCATGCGGAAATTGTAGCAAACTCTAAAATTGAAAATCCATTCATCAACACACCTTTACGATACCCCTAATCGCATCTTCTCTTGGTCCCAACTCCGAGACCTTCTCAGATCGATTAAGCAATAATAAGCTCCAATTGGCAAGGGTCGAAGTAGCAGCAAGCTGAATCAAAAATACATATGCGTTAATTGAAGTGAAAGAGAAGTGTTACCTATTCGAAATAGGATGGCATAAAACGAATTAGTTAATTGATCAGTAGATTAACATGCAACAATTACTTGTAATGCCACTTTGTTGCTCATTAGCTGATTTGTAACTGCAGTAAAAAGATTCTGGAAGTCGTGGCAAAGCATGTCGCGACCACAAGGATGAGTGAATGCGTTTGTCATTGATCGACATACAAGAATACCGATTGCATCTGGAGGTTCACTCATTAGCAATGTTGAAAGACGATGATGTGTACTCTCCCCACGGATCTAAACCAATATCACAAATTCTCCATCCCAAAAGGGTAAAAGTATTGTTTTTACAGAAAATTGCAAACTGCGACAACCGGATCTTTCTGGTAATTTACCTTCATATCGCAAAAATATGCATTGAGATATTCATGGAGCAAAGCTACGCGAAACACGTCAAGAATCGGAACTAAGTCGGTCATTGTCCACTGTAGACCAACGTTAAGTGCAGCTGCTACGACTTCAAAATCGATGACGTCTTCAGATCCCGACATTAAGCGTTGAATGGCAGTGATCTGACTTTTTAAACATAGCGAACTAAACCAAAGTAAATAACACAGCAAACTAACCTGCGAATCACTCAACTTCAAGACGTGTTGCTTTTCGTTTACTTCAACAAGCTTAGCAAGTGCTTTAGGACTTAAATGTTCAATTCCAAATCGATAATAGCACGGAACAGGTACTAGTTCACCGCGTGGTCTTTTCTTATCTAATGGAAGACAAGAGTTGGAAATCATACTGCTTGTAACGGAATCTGACTTGTAACTTAAAAGAATTGCAATAAATCGTTTAAGAACAGCACACAGATAAACGTTCACTCACCCTCCAGAACTCGTATAGGGATCACCGCATTCTTGTACAGAAACATTTTCAAAAGAATTCCCAGGAATATATCGACTAGTACCAGTAAACGGATCAGCAATGGCAACGGAGGATGAAGAACCAGACGTTTTTTTAGGCACGTAACGATTGTTACCTTTCAAATCAAAACACTATTGAAAAAGAGCAAGTATTTGAAAGATATGGCAAAACATGAACATACCAGTAAGTGGATCAAGGAATTCTGAGGACTGACTAGTATTTGAAGAGTCACAACTCTGAGAACGTAAGAGACCAGTTACCTATAATAGAACAGCAAGCAGAGGTCGGAAAAAAAAAGACTGATGAACACATAAAGCGTATAGTACGGCTTACAAACCTTGGCTAGAAATGATATTGGCAAATTATGTTTTTCTACAAATCTTTGAGCTGCAACTTCCGGGTCTTCATCCAAGTTGTAGGGTAATCGAAGCTTTCGTCCATCATCAACAGTAACGTCAAAAGCGTAATCATACTCCTACGAGAATAAGATAAAAATCGGTAAAAACAGCGCACGACATAACAATACGCAGATGCACGTACATCAACCAAACAATTGCTCAAAAACAAAAGTTTAGTTACAAAGACGCTTCAAACCTTCCCATCTACCGTCACCCTCTGTGTCGGTTGCACCCTATGTTGTCTTCGCGCGGCAGCAGCTGCCTCAGGAACATGTCCCTTGATGTATTCCGTGATTTCGTCCAAATACGAAGCTGGGAGATTGTAATCCTCAAAATGTGAATGAATAAACTTTCGAACACTCTAAAATCGAAAATCAAACAGAAAGTTATACTGTATTGAGCGTGTTAAAGAAACTTGTACAGATAAAGCATTATAACAAATGAAAATCAAAAATTTCTAACTCTAATGAACTTCTCGGCCGCCAAAGCTGGATCTGTACCCTTCTTGTATAAAAGTTGCATATTGGGGACACCGTCATCAAGAGAAACATTAATGCGAACAGTTTCATTAGCCTAAAAGACGATTACTATGAATAAGTTGCAAAAAAAGATCTTGATGTACGAAGTATATGCGAGAAGACCGCCGATCTGGCAGCATAACATATGATTTACCAATAATCCCAATAAACCTCTTACGAAATATTCCGATCTGACCTTCCAACGGTTAACCATCTCATCGTAGCTGGGAGGTGTTCCTAGGTGTCGGACTGCGATGTACAGCGGGTGGATTCATCTCCCCGGAAGGATCTTCAAAGCTGAGAACGAGTCCGGCGTATCCATCAGGAAGCCCAGCTAAGAGTAAACCAATACTAGGATCCGACACCGTCCTGATGCCGAACTAGTCGCACGGTGGCAAATCTCCCTCTGATCCACAAAGGTGGCGACTGCCTGTGGTGGTGACCAGCTGAGGCAGACTTAGGTCTGGCTAACCTCGGGGACCCCAAGGAAACAATGGCCAAACCAGCCAAACTCCGAAAAATGGAGATTATGCTGAAGCTCGCACAATCAGTGAGGACAGGCTATCCAATTAAGCAAAGAATCCTGATCTGACCCAGCAAAACTACTTATGGCTCAAAACTAAATAAATTTATCTGACATACCTGCTGTTCCCTTCGCTCAAATTCTTTGGCAACTTTTGCTGCAACAGCATCTTCAAAAGCTGCTAAGACGGTATTCGACGCCTTATGATTCTCCTTTTGTGTAAATATATATATACATCCATTACTAAAATATGAAAATGATGATGATTAATAAAGGCCGATGTAAACATTTTCCGTTTTTCTGTGCGTAACACCTAGAATCGGTTTATTTTGTGAAGGAAAACACTACATAACTTCCGTCTGAAAAAAAGAAATTCCGCAATTTTGATGGTATTTTCTATTACTGAACCCATGCAATCTACAACTGCCCTTTAACAAAATATCGCGTAACTAACTATATATGGGCTTGTGTCGTTTTCTGATAATTCTGTAATAATGAAAAAAGCTATGCTAGTCCATATGTTTTCTAGAACATAAACAATACAAAAGGAGACAATAAAGATGAACAGTAATAAAACATGCCTGGCAGCACAAGCAAAGTCGCCATTGGGAAGACCTTTAACTGCCCATGCCGTTTGTGCAGGTGAATGGATAGTTTGGCAATGAGAGAGGCTAAAAACGAATACTAAGGGACAACATGAGAAAAATAGAAACAAGACTGTACCTAAATTTATCTCCATCACAGGTTTTCTTCCATACTTCTATATGGCCACCATCACTACAAGACAGTACGTACGAATCAACGAAGGATAGGCTAAACGTCAATCCGTTCACAAGTGTAAAGCGATCAAACTCACAGAATGCAAGGAACAAAAAAAGGAGGACGAAGTTCCACCTGAATATGAACGTCTCTAACGTAGAAGGAAAACTGGACAAACACACATCAGACCGAATATGCCACAACCGGATTGACGCATCATTGCCGGCCGATAGAAAAAGATCAGCAGAAATCACAAGAAGTGCTCTTACAACATCGTTGTGGCCTACACAGTAATAAAATACTTTTCGACAAAACTTTTTGTACGCCAGATTTAATGCATTATGTTTCACCAAATCATGTGAACCCTACCAATAACAACCACTATGATGCTGAGATGTTTGCAGAACTTTCTTTCAGGACACAGTTTTGTAAATATGTCAGCGTCATAATGGTTGTATTTCACATAATACCCTACCGTGAAGAATTAATACACAATAAATGAAAAGTGGGAACATTATGGCTGAAGGCAGTCTGCACAAAGCTCATGAAAATTTGTTCAAAAAAGAAACCAGGAAATAGACTATGAAAAATAATTCTAATTAAAACGTTTTTCTGATACAAAAAAATCGTTCTCAGGTGGGCATTGCCATTCTAATCCACTCTCGATAGAAATTGTTGCCAATTAAAATCAGCAACCAACTAAAGCGTTGTTTCAGCTTACTTACACAGGAATACTATCGAACTATACTACGGGATAAAGTATACAGCTCTCGGCGTTAATCAATCCCTGAAGGACGCGCCATAGTTTCGACATTATTACGCATCGTTGAAGGTGACTGAATGCATATCTGGCCTTTATAACGATCCGAAGTGGCCCACCGATGTGTCGAGCCAGTGATACTATCCTTCTAGACAAGTATGGCACCAATTTGCCAACCCCAGAGGGATCGGAAGGCTTGATGCCCCTTGGGCGCGGAGATCGATCACATGTATATTGTAGAGGACCTACGACCACTGCGCAACACGCGCCCCTCATCGAATCAAACTATACTAGGACAATAAATCTCAGTGAGAAATAGAGACACAAAATACAGCACAGAAACAAGATACACGTTAACGGCAAACCTGTGTAAGTTCTTATTAAGTTGTCATCATGCCAAAGTTTAATAGTCTTGTCAGCACTTCCTGTGAGGTAAAAACCTGGAGAGCACTCAATCGCAGCTAACGCCCACACAGAATATGTATGACCAGTGAGGAGCAGAGCCTTAAATAAGCACCTACAACCAAAGCAACAAAATTAGCGATATTCAAAGTATAACAACATACAGAAAACTCTGGGAATAGAAGGTGCTTAATTGGCCAAACGACAACGTTATTGTCCCAGGAGCCACTCAGAAGGATGTGATTTTTCTCATCTACGTACAGACAGCATACTAAATGTACAAGAACATTTCAATTACAGAGTAAGACAACAAAGCATTAAGAAAACAAGGTCTGGAAAGATACCATTTGAGGAATGATGCGTGAGTACAGTCATAGGTTCACTGGATCCTGAACCGTAAACTGCAATCGAGCCATCTTTTCGACCAGCAAACACCAGCCAACCATCAGATGAATCATAGTAGCCTATGGAGTTCACAAACAATCCTTTCGGTTGAGGAAACGAAAGCGCCTCTGAGAACTCTCCTCCTCTATAATTTGTAGGAAATAACATGAAACATAAAGGCTAAGGTCTAAGGTAACCATCTTTATGCCGTCATTACGTGGAAAATCAAACAAGCATAATATCAGTTTGCTTTAGTTTTGATAGCATAATCCATCTGCAGACGGAAAACTGAAGCAAGGAAAAGCCAATAACCAAATCCAGAAAGATTGGGAAAGCAAACCTTTTGTTCCAAAACTTCACAAAATCATCGCGTCCGCCAGAAATAATAACGCCCGCTGAAGTAGATGTTATACATTTCACATCCGTATTATGAGCTTCGATCACCCGACTGAGGCAGAACTCGTCTGACTGTGTGGTATCGTCCATTTCGACGTCATTCATAACCCTCAAGTAAACAGTCAAATACGACCTATATAAAGTACGATCACATACATGTCACGGTAAAGCAAAGAACTGGATCAAGAAGTGCTACAACAGATTTTTCCTATAAGAGAACTGCAATAATGTGTTTTTATTTACTGCTTATTTATCCTTCATGGCAGGGTATGCTGTGTAATATAACCACAACGATGCTGAGATATTTGTAAAATTTCGGACCGTAGGTGACTGCGGTGAGGAACGAACACGTTATTACCCTTTCCAGGAGCTAACGCATTCACTACCACACCAATCTTCGTTTCGCCTTTCTCTCAGCTAGTTTTCTGTGTATCAGTGCCATCAGCAATCCTTGTGATATTTGAAAAATTATGATAATCCGTATAGTTTGTATGAAATGCTGAGATATTTGCAAAACTCCGAACTGCAGGTGTATTCAGTGGGGAACGAACACACGCTGTTGTCCTTACCGGGGAGCAGCGCACTTCACCACACCATCCGGGTCCTTCGTCTTGCCTGTCTCTCAGCTAGTTCTATCGAAGTGCGCTGCTCACCGGTAAGGACAACAGCGCGTGTTCGTTCCCCACTGCATACACCTGTGGTCCGAAGTTTTGCAAATATCTCAGCATTTCATGCGAGTTATATTTCGCAACATACCTTGCCATTAAGAAGAAAAGGCAGTAAATAAAAGGGTTAAAATCTGTATACTTTTTAACCTTTTCCTAGCTACAAGTAAACTCACGGAAACTTCAGATCGATGGTCTTTAAAAATTCAAGGGTGAAAACGAAACTGTTTCATAAAGAAACAATAACCTATAGATTCCAGTATAGATTTGTAATCCAGAATAAGGGTAATCCCGAAGTCCTAGCAAACCAAGGTATCACTCTGAATTCATCAGTTGCTAGTTAGTTAATTCATCGATTTGCTAGCATCTCTAAGACGAACGTGATTTCTGCAAATCTTTAATACGGAAAAAAATAAATGGTCCTTAGTATTGGTCATGAATAAACGGTCAGTTAACACTAATGGCTACAAAAACACTTTACAACTTCAATAGTTCGAAGAGAAAAATTATAAAACAAAAAGTACTAACAACAGAGAATCCAGAACTAGTTCGAGAAAATCCAAGCACTTTCTCGTTACAAACGATCCGGTGCTGGAGCACTGAATCGGTACGTGATTGCGGTCAGGGTTCGACTTACGTGTTAGCGCTTACTGAGTTTTGAAGCGTTACCTTCATTTTTTTGTGCTTACTTACCTAACTGCCCTACACCAGTACTTCGTAGAATAAAGAATCTCGTTCATATGTGCATATATTGATTTCAGGATCGTTTCCGGGACACCGTGTTTCCTGCAGTTTGTACAAGAATATGATTGTTGACGAACAGGTATGAAAGAGTTCCTCTGATCCTTTGTTTAGTCTTTATGGTTCAATAAACGAGATATGCATAGTATGCGATGCATGAAAGTAATAAGCATCTTAGGTTTACTCTAGTAAGTTTTTATAAAGGATGACGAGGAACAGAAAAATCTGATGAATTGTCTCGATCTCCTCATCGCTGCCGGATACTTTCGTGCAAGAATTAAGGGCCTAGCTCCATTCGACAAGGTTTTTTTTTATTACTTAATAAGTTACTTTATGTTGATCCACAAGGGCTATGGCTGCCAATTTTTATCCTTTTACCACTCTTCAAATCGAGTTTATTTTACTTGTAAATGTGCACTTGTTTTATATTCATGGTGTAGGTTGATCAGTATGAAGACCTTCGCCATTGGATTTTGAAGGTATCAGACAATTCTTGGTTATTGCAGTTTTTTATTTACGATTATCCTCTCTATCTTTAACTTCTAAACTTTTTTTGAACGTTTTCGCAAAAGCTTAGGATCTGCTCTTTCATAGGCCTATTCGAGTTCTTTTGTTAGCCCTCAGTTTCGCGTATTGTGCAACACAGGGCGATGATAGTTCTTAGATAAAAGGATAAAAGAGGGCAAACTCTCACCGTTGATCATTCCATGAAGGATGCTCCATGCGTTCGACTTCATTAAACATCGTTTGGAGGTGATTGAATGCATATCTCGCCTTTACAATGACTCGCGGTAGCTTATCGATCTATCGAGCTAATGCTGCTATCCTCCGAGACAAGTCTGGTGCCAATTAGCCGACCATACCATGAGGGCATGGAAGTGTTGGCGGGCCTGAGGCGCGTGGATCGATCCCATGTGTATTGCAGGGCGCCTTCGACCACAGCGCCACACGCGCCCTTTTCGTGTGAAATTAGAACATGCAAACACTGCTGGCGACGTATGGGTCATATATGAATCGTCGTATTATCTGGATTGGTTGAGAAAAGCAATGGAGAAGAAGAAAAAGTGCTTCAGTGTCCAAGTGTAGCACAGAAGACATATTTGCATAATCTACACAGAAATAATGGTTGAAAGTGAAAACTGTGACTGATACAGCGCCCGTAGTGGACAAGTTGTTGATTGGATATAAGAAGTGCTGTAGATAATTGTGTGAAGGCAAATCGCTGGAAAGGAGATTCATATGGATCAATGCAATTTGTACCACGTATGCATGTGTAGTGAAGTAAATGCACTTCGGTGGTTTATTTCCTAGTAAAATCAAAACATGGAGGGTAAGACGGCTGTGTCCTATCCCAGGATTTTAGGGCAAATTCGTTCGGTAAGCGTTTAACGTCATTCGTAAAGAAGACCAAGAATCCTCAAGCAGTGACTGGATCTACACGCGATTCCAAAGACATGTGTGATGGAGGCAAGATTCCTTCAATATTGACGTCGGGTCACTTTAAAATTGCTCGATTTATAACCAAGATGAACCTTTTTTATCACCGAAAGAAGGGAACAAATTTAAATCTTTTCTTGGTTTATAAGAAGACCAAGATGAGATATCTGCAAAATTTGGACCGCAGGTCTAATCGAACCCGTGATTATTTTTTCGGGTGCTCACGTGTTATCCTATACGCCGGTGAGAACATTGCTTTGTCTTCATTTCAGCCAGTTTTTTACCTAACAATGGCATCAGCAATCACCCGTTAACGGGAGTGATATGGTGAACAAAATCGACATTGATCCCAGTTAAGCGGCGTTGCAGTTGAAACCATAATGCTTAACTTTTTATTTACTGTCTATTATTTTTTCACCGAATGATGTTGTGTGAAACACAACCACAATGGTATTCTGTTGAGGCTTCAATGGTTCTGTGGCTAATGTGTGATAGTTCCCAGGATCGACTTTCTCTTAACCTCGGCATTGGAATATGAATGTGTCGTTTTGTTCAGCAATCGCGAGGTTTTTAAACAGCATACATTTACTTCCATGAAAACACGATACAATACAACGCTAGCTGACGTTTCGGCAGTATCGCCT